ACTCAATCAATCTGCCCAAGTGGAAATTGGCATCCTTGCATTGTGCAGACATTTCAGTCGGCCCACAATTACCAAAGAAAAGAACAATTAGAGTGCAAATTTTTATTTATTTATTTATTTATTTATTTATTTATGACACTGGGAATTGAACCTGAAGGCTTGCACTTTCTAGGCAACAGTTCTACCACTGAGCTACAGCCCTAGCAATTATTATTATTATTATTATTATTATTATTATTATTATTGTTTTATCTCGAGGCAAGGTTTTGCTAGTGTACCCCAGCTGGATTGAATTTCAGTCCTGTCTCAGCTTCCCAAATAGCTGAGTTGAACTTGTTCCACAAAGTGCAGTTACCATACAAATTTACATTTTCTAAAAGGCTCCACTTGAGGCCAAACTTCATATAAGACACATAGTTTCAGAAACTGAGCAGATTACCAGGGCAGCCACACGGCGTGCTATTTATTCTGTGACAATGTTACAGCTCACCTTTTTCTCTTTGAGGACTCTTGATACTTTGAATGTGTTCCCCTGTGAGTAAAGGGTAGAGTTCAGGAGCAAAGCTGTCCATGGAAAAAAACAGGGCCACAAGGTAGAAGACCCTGCTGAAGAGCAGGGAGTGTTGGTAGTGGCTGAACAGAGGAAACGAACATGATTGCGGTTATCATGAAACAGGTCTGTGGTCGCTCATGTCAGATTCTACACATAGTATCATTTATTCTTTTTTTAAATGTATTTAGTACAGAGTCTACAGGGTCTCACTATGTAGATCGGACTCGTAGTGAGCCTCCTGTTTGCAGCCTCCCAAGCGCTGGGATTACAGGGGCGCGCCCCCGTGCCCAGTGTCAATCACTGTCTCAGCGCACCCATGGGGGCAGGGCTGGCACGGCATCCTGGGGATCGAACCCCGGCCGCTGCGTCTACCTAAGCAGGGACTTTAATCCGCTGAACTATTTGGCCCACCCTTTGTTCTTTACATTTGTTCTCTCTCATCTTCATGTTTTATGTGAAAACATATTAGCGCAGGGACGGGGTTCGATCCCTAGCGCGCCATGCCGGCCCAGACCCCGGGCGATTGAGACTGGGCAGGCCTTGGTGGCACACACCTGTAATCTTAGTGCTTGGGACGCTGAGAACAGGAGAATCACTAGGAGTCTGAGCTGTGTAGTGAGCCCCTGTAGACCCTGTACTAAAAATACATTAAAAAAGAAAGAAAGAAAACGTATTAGCTTCACCTATTGCCTGGGCAAATGTGCTAAGCATAATCCAGCTAGGTTGTACGGCTTCGAAATCCAACTCTCCCACTACAAAATTGTGTACATCTAGTCAAATGATTTACCTTTCTATCCGCAGTCTCTTTGGGGAGATGTATTACTTAAGTTAATGAATGCAGGATTTAGGATGGCCTCAGGAACACAGGGAGTGGTCCATGGATTGCAGCCATTGCTATTTTCTGGCCTATGCAGGAATGAACAGATGAAATGGAGGCCAGCCAAATAGCCAGCGGATTAAAGTGCCTGCAAGCAGGCTCAGGGCCTGAGAGTGCGATCCCCGGGGCCTGCTGTGCTGGCCCCGCCCCCAGGGCTGCTGAGAAGGCGTTTGAGACTGGGCGTGGTGGTGCACACCTATAATCTCAGCTCTTGGAAGGCTGTGAACAGGCGGATCACTGTGAGTCCGATCTAGTAGTGAGGCCCTGTACATCCTGTAGACTCTTCCTTAAAAAATACAAAAAATAAGAATAAAATAAAAAATCAAGCAAGCCCGCCTATAATCCCAGCACTAGGGAGGCTGAGGTAGGAGGATCACGGGGAGTTTGGGACCAGCTGGGGCTACAAAGTGAGCTCAAAGCCATCCTGAACTGCATAGCGAGACTCTTAGTCTCAAAAAAGACAAAAAAAAAAAAAAAAAAAAAAAGATGAAATGGTCTATGTTTTCAAGGGGCTTCCAGTATCACAGGTGGAGACAGACAGGCACATAGATTAAGGGAAGAAAGGGTGAGATGGTGAAGGTAAGGCTACCGTGGGGAGGTCACACACAAGGGAGGGAAGCATTCTTTTGGTCAACCCTTTTGAGATGGATGTAATATGAACCCAAAGTAGTTTCTTATTTCCCTGACCCCTCGGTAAGTGATCCTTCCCTATTAAGTGCCTGCTTTGCCTGCTTTATGTGCCATAGTTGTTCCACCGTGAACAATTATGTAAGCGCAACCGAAGGCTTTTCACGAAGGGGCCTTCTGGCACCTCTTTATTTACACTTCAGACAAAAGACCTCACCATAACTGGTGAAACTAGACTATATTATTCTGAAGCTTATTTTCAGTGTCATATTTCTTACAGAGACTAGAATTATTCTTACAAAGGGAAAATAGCCCTTTTCTCAATCTTGAAGATGGTCTATTCCTTTTGACAGTAACCTAGTCATGGGCGTATTATTCAATTTGGACTCAGGTGGACATGCCCAAGCAGAAGTAAACTGGGGACTCTGGGAAAGGCTTTCTTAATAATTTAAAACTGACAAACACAACACTACTTTTACGGATGCTGTTAGTCTTCGTGTAATGTCTGGCACCGTTGCAGCCATTTTATAGTCATGAGGGGAGATATTCTTGATAACCAAATGGTGATGCAATAGAAAGAGATAAAACATACACATTGAAAACATCCGTGCGTTGCTGCACTTGCCAGCTGAGACCTTGAGCTGTCTCTAGACTTCTCATATGAGAAAGCGCCTCCTTAGTTCTTTAGGGTGCTGTTGGATGGCTTTTGCATTTTCACTCAAATCCTTCTGAGAGTAGCCTGCGCTGTGTTGCCAAGTCTAGGCACTTTCTTGCAGGAGGGTTGACCGGGCTCCCTTTCAGGCCCTGTGACATTTCAACCTGTGGAGTTAGTCCAGTCTGCTGTGACTGGTAGACACCCCAGAAGCTGCACTGACTAAAAACAAAGAGGTGAAGGTGGGAGCTGGAGGTGCAGAACCTCGATGCAGTTGCTGGGGAACCGTTGGAGCAGTGCGAGTGAGTGACTGAACAGTCACCGGAAGGATGCTCCCTCCGGCCCACCCACAGGCTTCAGTGAGAAAGCCTTGGCCCAGCAGTAACGCGATCCCAGTCATGCTTCGAAACGTCCTTACTTCCATGCATTATTCAGAGTCAACCAATCACAACTTATTAAGTATCTCTTAGTACCTGTGAGACTCACCTCATCGCTTGGCCCTACCCAACTGTTTTTGGGTAACGACCTTGCTGTACCCCCTCCTAGGGACCCACTCTTCAGATATCTGTCTGGGATAGCGGCAGCAGCAATGACTTGGGACCATGGAGCTGAAGTTTTGATATACAGATATAATGCTGGGGGTCGAAACAGGATAATGGTGGGGGCAGCAGCCGTGGTGTTGGTGATAAAGACGGCGGTGGCGGTTATGATGGTGATAATGATGGGTGATGGTGTGATGATGGTGGTGATGGCAGTGGCGGGGGTGCTGATAGCAACTGCTGTTTATCCTGCATCTCTCGCTGTACACCTTGGGTTGTTCCAAGAACTTGCATATAATCAATCACCAGTCTTCACCTTATGCTGCAGGATTCTTGTTATTGTCCCTTTTACAGAGAAGGAAACATGACACAGAGACTGTCAGGTGCATAATGTTTTACTGGCTATTGCAGATTTATTACAAAGGATATTTTCAAGGATCCAAAAGAGTGGCCCAAAATGAAGGGAGGTAGGGTGAGGTAGGGAGGACCCCAAGCTTAGGAGCTCAGCCCCGTGGGGTTAGGGTACTCTGCTCCCCTGGCATGGGGATGTGGCAGCCTCCCAGAAGTACTCCTGATGTCACAGGCCAGAAATTTTTCCAGAGCCTGCATCACGCAGGCATGGCCAGTCACCTCCTGAATCTCCAGCCCTCTCACCTTCCCACAGGTGAGGGGTGGGGGTGCTGACAGTCCCAAGCGTCTCCTCCATGCTTGATCTTTCGGGTTCCTAGTGCCCACCCAAAACCGTCTGTCATCAGAACTGAGAAGCTCCACCTGCTGGGAAGTCAACGGGAGCCCTGCTTCCGGAACTGGGGCAAGTGTGTGAATCTGAGAACTGAAGAAGCTCCTCATAGCCCCACCTCTAGGGGGATTGCATGGATTTGGGGAGCTGTGCACCCAGAGAGAGACAGGATCAGACCACAAATGATTCTTTTCCTATGGCTCCATCCATTTGCCTTATGGTAGGCAGAGAGCTCTTTTAAAACATGTGTCATTCTTTTTTTTTAAATTCAATTAAATATTGAACAAATGCAGAATAAATGATCCAAGGGGTATCTTAATCTAAAAATACAGTGACTTCAAACATTCAGGGGTCTGTCACACAAAGAATGAAGACTTGTTCAGCACTTCTTCAACAGGCAGAACTTGAAACAGAAGCAACCAACGGGCCACGGAGGCCAACATGGCATCACTCGGCTTACTAGCTTCCTTCCCCACACCGTGCATCCCACGTACCATCCCGTCCTCCGCAAGGACAGGGTAGGACTTAACACTTCTCATGAACACCCTAAGTGGCGCCATCGTGGTGAGCCCTCCTCTGCTAGCAATGGATGTGTTCACAATACTGGAAAGAACTGTGACGCTAACACGAGAAATGTCCGTTTGCTCCTCAGCTACGTGTGACTACTCTACCTAGCGGTTCTCGGGAGGCAGGGACCCCAGCGTGCCCACCTCCCAAGGGTGGGTCACGCTCCAGCAATTCAGGTGCTACCCGGGACAGTCCCTCGCCAGCTGCACAAGCAGCACCACCAGGGCCCACTCAGGCATGGGCGGGAGTGCGGCATGCACCGGGCAAGAGAGCTTACTCCTAGGTCAGCAGAGAATGTAAACCGCCTGCGTAATGCTGACAGTGCCAAAGTGTTACATATTAAAAAATGACAACTGCCTCAACTACTCAGCATAATGCTTAAGGACAAAATATATATAATGTACTTTATATTATATATTCGTTTTATCACATATTCAGTAAGGAAAGCTGAGGTGCTTAATCCATCCAGTAAATTGAAAATAAAAGCTTTACATGCCGCCATCTGTCCGTGTACAGGGCGCTGCGGGTGGCCCGAACCCGGCGACGTCAGTTCTCCAGGAAAGCCACATAGTGGGTCAGCCTCGCCAGCTGCTGCCCGTTGGGGATCGGCGGGACTGGGGCGGGCTCTGACAGGGGAATAATTCTGTTAAAGGAAACATCCAGGGCGCCTGCAACTGGCTTCGGGGAACAACCATTCTCGTGGTGGAGTCCGCTTGCCATCCTTGCTCTAAGATACCTTTCACAGCTTCTTCTACAGGAAGTCCAACAGAGGCCGCAAAGTCATCAGCGATGATGGAGGCGTGCGCTCGGGAGACCAGGGCAAAGGCAGGCCGCCCAGTCGCGTCTCTGAGCGCTTGCATGATTGGCTGCACCGTCTCAGACCACTGGTGGGCGCTGATGGTTGCATAGATCCCAGGGAAATCTCTCTGCCAGATTCTCTGTCCTACTGACCAAATCCCTCCAAGTTCAGAATTTGCAGATTTTATAGCAGGAGGTATTCTTTCCCAAAGATATCTTGCATTATTCATGTCACCGTGGAGCAGATACGACGCGAGAAGCTGGCCGTACACGGCGGGCGTGGCAATTCCTCCAGGAGCCTCGAGCTCCTGGTTCTCGCATTCATCCAGCAACTTTCTAAAACTGAAGGCACTTTCCGCCATCACCGCCACTGGCAGCTTCCCGGCCAGTCTCACCACCGCGCCTTCCAGACTGCCAGACTCCAGACTGTCCCTTGGGGCGTCGCGCCCGATATGTGTCATTCTTGTGGCTTCTTCCATTTCTTTGAATAAACCCCAGCTCTTCCCTGAGTCTCTGGCCCAGCCTCCTCCCTTGTGACCCGGCCGCAGCTCGATGCATGGCTGGATCCCTCCTCTGGTCTTAATCTAGGACCACCCTTTCCAACTTCCTACCGTTCCTGCCCTGTCCCCGAGCGCTCTTGGCCATCTTCGATCCCGTTGCAGGTTTTGCTTGCCACTCTCTGAGACCGTCCCGCCCACTCACTGGCTTGCATGTGGGTTTGAAGTTGGTCTCCCTCCTTCCCTTGGACTGGATCAAACCTGTTTGCCTCATCCCAGGCACCCAGCCCTTAGATCCTTTCCCAGTGCGTAAAGACTCCGTAAATTAAGAAAGAAGTAACTTGCATTTAATCTCTATCTGTAATGTATTTCAATTTATTTACATGTCCCAGTGGAAAGTGAAAAAAAGAGAAAACATTAATTTTATTTACATTTATTGAATATTGATGTATTGTCGGGGTGCTGGGAAAGTAGTAGTGATATTTGAACATGATTTGGGGAGTTTAATCTACCCTTGAAAATCTGAAATTACATATGGCTCAGAACAAATTAGTTTTACATAGAAAATTTAAAAACTCAGGAGCACTATTGATAGATTCCTATTTTTAAATATTATGAAAATATAAAATTTAAATATTATGAAAATGAAAAATATAAGCTATAACGTTTCTATAATGAAGAGCTTAGAGTTGTAAGAGTAGAGGATATGATGACAAATCTAGCTGAATCATTATCCTCTTCCTCTTCCTCTTCCTCTTCCTCTTCCTCTTCTTCTTCTTCTTCTTCTTCTTCTTCTTCTTCTTCTTCTTCTTCTTCTTCTTCATTTTGAGATACCTAATGATACCCAGTATTTCCTTAGAGTCCCGTAATATACTAACCCAGCTTTTGTGTGTTAATTACATTTGCTTGTCTCTCTTATTTTTTTGTACTTATTTAACATGGATTCTGAGATACACTCTCCTCTAGTCTGCAAATAAGAGAATTAAATTTAGTCGTATTGGCTGATTCTGTAAAGGACCTTTCTGAGAACCAAGTGTTAATTCTGTCTGGTTTTGAAACAAGAGCCCTGAGGGCACCTTGTCTCCTTTTTTCCGTTTTTAGACACCTCTGTTAGCTGTTTTTACACTTGAGTGGAAGCGTTTTTAAATGAGCTTGTGAAAATTTGGAAAAGATTTTATTTTTAATATCCCAGATTGCCTCCTCTGCGCGGGGCTGGTTCCTTGCACGCTCTCCATCTGTCTTGGGGATGCGAAGACTCAGCAGAGGGAAGCAGAAAGGGCAGATCGCGGCGTGGGTTTCTAAGACTCCTAAGGACAACTTCGCACTTCAGAGCGGGCTCGTGCATTCCTCCATCTCTGATGAGCAAAACGCTGCCCAGGTCCCCATGGCCCAGCCAAGCCAGATGCAGGGGTAGGGAAGCTCCTGCCTCCCCAGGTCCGGAAGGGAGCTGTTGCTTAGCGACTCCCTGTGCTCTAGGCGCCCTATCCTTCCAGGTGAATTTAATGAAACACACAGATCGGTTCTTTTGTCCTGAATTTCCTTAAAGGAGAATCGAATCAATTTACTTTCTGGCTACAGTTGGTCTGGGATTTCTGATATTTTTTCTTCAGTGTTTTGGCCTAATCATTAGATGAAAAAAAGATCTTTTTCTCTTCCTAACCTCCTCTCTCCTCGACTGTGACGGCACTTGAAATCTTACTCCTTGCTGGATATTACATCTGATTTCAAGGTCCTATTATTTTTTCTTTTGAAGCCACCAGACAATACCTAGGGAAGTTCATTCTCTCTGTTGCTCTGAAAATCAGCAGGTTCTATTCGTAATTAGAGCAGTTTGTGGACTATGCATCTGGTAGAACTAAGAGCTTTTTACCACCCTATCTTTGACTAATGCTCATTTGTGTATTTACTGAGTGTCCTGTAGCCTCAGAACATGAATAAAAGACTACAGATATCTTATGATATATGCTCTACTGAATAAAATAGCCTCAAAAGGGTCATTATTCTGGAGTTCTTAGGTAATACGATGGTGTGTGTTTAATTGCAAAAGATTTTTTTTCAGCTCTAGTGATTGAACCAAGGGCCTTTGCACTGAACTATACTCCTAACCATTTTTATTTTTTATTCTGAGATAGGGTCTTGCTAGGTCACCTAGTTGCCCAGGCTGGGCTTGAACTTACAGTCCTCCTGCCTCAGCCTCTTAGAGTGCTTGGACAATTGGCCTATTCCACTGTACCTAATTGGAAATCTAATTCTAATTGGAAATCATTCTTTGAACAGAATCAACTCTTTAAGTGAAACTCACTGCTCCCAGTTGTATGAGATCTTACAGAATCGAGGTGATGCTGGTATCCTGGGTTGCTTACTTGGGAGTGTTGTTACTTCAGTCAAAACTGAGCTATAGGGGAAAGAGACATTTTAAAGATCCAGTAGTATTTAAGGCTGGCTTTACATTTTACAGGTTCGAGGCCTATCAGCCTGTATCTTAGCACTTAGTCCGCACAATATCGAATTGTCCTGTGACTCATCATTTGCTATCAATATCTCCTATCCTGTTACAGACCTTGTTGTCACCGAGAACTGCCTCACCTCTGAAATCCTGAACTTTGAAATTCCACTCTGTGCATGACCTTGCGCCCTGCCACTCTCCTCCACACTGTCCTCCCAGGCTTCTGTCTTCCATGCACCTGAGCCTCCACGTTCCCACCCTAAGTCCCCAGGGCTCTGCCTTTAGGGTGCTGTAAGGACCCTGTCATCCTCAGGAGGATGCCCTGGCTTGCTCAACCCATAAGCCCTCACCCTCAGCTCCTCCATCTGGGTTTCCTTTATGTAACTGCAGAAAAACTACAGACTCCTGCAGTCTGCTGCTTACTCAGGACTTGAATTCCAAATCTCAGTTGGATGATCAAGGTCATCGGATAGTCTTTTGAGCCATTCTAGCTGGTTCTTTGACAATTGGTGTGACCTAAGACATGTGCGACCAAGAGGTAGGATCAAACTAATTGAAATACACTTAAAAGTTCATTTTTGTTTTTCTTTGTTTTTGTTTTCTTTTGCACTTTTCCATAGTATGCTGCAGTAGGTGCGCAGTATATCTTCATTCTTCTAGTTCTTCTCTTCATAGGAGTTTTTCTTTATTGCTTTTTTTTTTTTTTTGTACAAGGTCTACAGGTCTACAGGGTCTCACTATGTAGACTGGACTCCTACTGATCCACCTGTGTTCAGCCTCCCATGAGCTAGGATTACAGGTGTGCCCCACCACAACCAGTCTTAATCCTAGTCTTAGCTCACCCCGGGGGAGGGGCCAGCATGGCATGCCAGGGATCAAACCCCTGGCCCTGAGTTTGCCTAAGCAGGCACTTTAATCCGCAGAGCTATTTGGCCGGCCCTTTTTTATTGCTTTATATCTTTTTGTATTGCTTCATCTTTTCTCAAGAACTAGATATTTTTGTAATATAAAAAGTTTCTGGACAGATTACTTCCTGTAAAAGTGCAGCTCATTGAGTGCTTATAGACATTAATCCTTTTGGGAGAATCTTTACTTCTTCCCCATATTATTATACTGGGGACCAGGTTTCTAGCACATGAGTGTTTTAGGGACCAACTGTACCCACCCCACAGCAGGGTTGTGAGAAGGATTAGATGACTTAGTATACATAAAGCACTTCCCCTGCTTGGCAGTAAATGATTGTCAGCCCCTCTAATTTGACACAGGAGATGTTATACCGGGGAGATAGCTTGGTGGTCTAGGCACCTGCTTGGCAAGCACTAGGACCCAGGTTCAATCTCCAGTGCCACATGCCATGCCGGCCCTCAAAGAGCCAGCCCCTGAAACTGGGCATTGTGGCACACACCTGTAATCCCAGCATTGGGGAGGCTGAGTCAGGAGGATCACTATAAGTCTGAGCTGCATAGCGAGACTCTGCACCAAATAAATAAAAATTTAAAAATTAAAAAAAAAAAACCCAAAACATTTCTCTTTCATGGTCATGTTGTCTGTGGGGAAGCTGGAGAAGGGGTGTGGTGCCAGCTATGAAGAATGAGGCTGTGACACCCTTGGGTGTTTTCCTGAGCCTGCCCTTCCGCTGGGTGTCACTCAGCAGCAGCATTCACTGTATCTTCTTTTCAATCACACTTTCTAAACTGAAGACTTGAAGGGCCGGCCAAATAGCTCAGCGGATTAAAGTGCCTGCAAGCAGGTACAAGGGCCGGGGGTTCGATTCCCGGACCTGCAGTGCTGGCCCCATCCCCAGGGTGCGTTGAGAGGGCAATTGAGACTGGGCGTGGTGGCAGGTGCCTGTAATACCAGCTCTTGGGAGGCTGTAAACAGGCAATCACTACACATCCAATCCTTGAGACCCTGAATACCCTGCTCTAAAATATAAAAGATAAAAAAATAGACTGTAAGACCTGAGGAAAGAGGACTGCCCAGGCTGCTTCAGAAAGTGGTAGCAGGCTGGGATAAGTGCGTTGGAAGTGACTGCCAGTGTGAGCTTTACTGCAATAAATTACTATTTTTTAATGAGCAGCATGTATTTATTGGGGGAAAGAAAGCTTCTGTCTCAGAGAGGAACAGAAGGGGGACCCGCGCGGGTGGGCCCCTGTACTGTACAAGTTATTAGAATTTAAATCTTCACCCCATGCCTGAGTGCCGGGCCGCGCTGCTCAGCACAGCTCACGCCCTGGAGGAGGGGCGCCTCCTTTGCACGTGATCCTCTCACTTGCGGACCCCTTCCAGGGCCCTGAGAGTGGCCCCTGCAACGTGCTCGTATGGCGCTTGGGTCAGGCGGGCAAGCACGAGACCTTTTCATCCCAGCCAGTTAAACTGCCTTCTGTCCCTATGTATTTGCTTATGCTGCAGCGATGGGATTGGCTTTCGGAGACGCACGTTCTTGGCCGGCTTCTCGGGTTTGCTCCCTTCCATCTCAGTTACCCGGCATCATCCTGGTGGGGGAGCCGCTCCACAC